TAGTAAAAATTTTTTTTTTTTTTTGCTATACAATGTCCAAGTGCCACTGAAGGTAGTGTTACTGAAAAAGGTTTTCATATGAATAATATAAGGTAAGATGCCCAATTTATGAAGATATGTAGGGAAAGATAACCACTATGTAGCATTTTGTTGGAAGAAGCTGTCAGAGTGAGACATACTACTCACTAATTGAATACAAATGGAATGAGAGTAGTTCACTTCGGTAAATCAAGTGTGTCCTCAAGTGAGATGTTTAGAGTTGGTGCAACTAAAGAATGTAACTCATGTGAACATTTTCCATGGAAATAACGATGGAGTAGTAATAGGCTTATAATGTTGCATCTGTGGGGAAAGAGGCTGTAGGATGGAAAGTAATTCATCATCTACAAGACCTCTTAGATACTTTTGAACTCTCTCAGTGCAGATTGGGCAGCTGCAGATTTTGCTCTTGTAAAGGTAGGGCATAAAAGCAAGAGTCAGATACGTAAAATCCTGAAAATCTCAAAACAAAATCTCAGGCTTGTTTTTTGAGAATGTATCTTAGGTGACAGATTTAGGGCACCTTGACTTGGTGTAATGGTGAGAAAGCTTGTCTTGCTAAATCAGTTACGACTGGGTAGTGAGTTTGATCCTCACTTAGTGCCCAATACTTTTGGCCTTGTGCCACATCTAAGCTGTGCTTAGAAAATCACTATGGCAGGAGTACTGCATTTTCAGCCTGATTCTGCTCTTGTAAAGGTAGGACATAGAACAGGAGTCAGTAGTCAGAAATTGGTAGATTCTGCCTTTAGGCTTAAATTGATAAGCTGACAATTAGATCTTTGAGTAATTGTTTTGTACTCATTCGTTTATTTATAAAATAGGTAACACCATTAAAGTTTGAATATCCATTCTGCGAAATACAATGTATATTTCATACTAGTTGGGTAAACTTAGGTAAACCTTGATAATAGTTTAACTGAAAAATAGCACATTATGCCATTTCTTAGCAAATACGGCGTCTACATTGGCGGCAAGGTCTCACCATTCTACTATTGAAATAGATGTAACCATAAGTTTTATGCTAACAGTTGCTTCTCTTACACTTCTCACTTGTAGAACATTCATCTGACTTCTTGCTTTCCAATCAAGCTTGATCCTTAATAAATTAAATGCAATATTAATTGTTAATTTTTATCACTTTAATTCCAGTTCTTTTAGTGTCCTTTCTCCTTAATGTTTTTTGTCATATTCTCTCATACTCAGTAACCCTTGTCTTAGTGGCTTTATTGCCTTTAGTTGATATGATTAAAGAAAACTAAAATAACTGGTATGACAAAAATGAAAAATATAAATTGGAAAGTGGAATCACCCATTTACAATACAATGAGAAGTCTGCAGTACTTACAAGCCATTGAGAGTGAGTCTGGTTTTCACTTGAATGCTCTGCAAATCTTATCTGAAAAAATAATTATCTGAGAGAAGAAAATAGGTAAACAGAAATGTGAAATTAATAATGGAAAGAGATTTATACTTAAGCAATATGACAAGAAGTTCCCTTTTGAGTAGAATGATGATATAAAAATGAATAAACCTGTTCATAGATGTGTTGGTAATATAATGGCTATCAGTGAGAAAAGTGGAATTGGTAGACAGTCCAAATTACAGGATAATCTCTTTATGTTCACTATTGCACAACTATTGGGAAAGGCATCAATCTGTCTTGTCTCCCTCCAGCAATGGGTTAAATAGTCGGGTAGACTGGGTTCTGTCACCTTAGGTTGTAACCTTTCTAAGAAAAGAAAAAAATCTGAATTCCAAACTGTGGAGAAAGCAATTCCATTATATTTTCCAAGAATACATGGTAATATTAGCCATTTCCCTACAAGGAAACATCTGGCCTTCACTGACTGAACAGCCAGTACTGCTTTCAGTTGAAATTTATAAAATCTTTCTCTTAAAACAATTTTGGCGGGAAATAGTTTTTTCAAGTTCAGTTGTTATATCATCTCTCTTTTAAGTATTAATAGGGAGTTTCTTTCCTAACCTTTTGTTTGAAATAGTGTGGAACAAAATCTTGATTATATTATTCTTTTCTTTTTGATGTACATTTTAGTTGTTAGTAGTCCTCAAGTGGTGTCTTTACTGTGATTTGATACTGTTTTTTGTTTGTGAATCTGTAGCACTAGTTTACAATGTGCAAAGAAAGATGATCTTTGCCAGCACCCTCAGGATTCACTCGCTCAAAGCCTTTTTTAAGCATTGATCTTAGAAAGCAGTTATATACAACTGTCAGTTTAGATATTTCTGAATGGGTTGGCATGATGCATGACATAAAATCACAAATAAAAAGTTATGATCACATGAAGGAGAAAAACATTTTTGGTGAGTTCTTTCTTTCTGGCTACCTCAAGATAGAACCTTGTAGTTTTGGTGCATATGCCTGATATATGTCAGACAAAAAAAATGTTGGTAAGTATATTAGCTATGAAAACATATCAAGAGGGCCCTGCAACAACCCAACTGCAAAACTACAAATGATGAAAATTGTACAGAATACATAGCAATTTATTGGTCAGTAAAGGAGGTACAGGCTGACAAAGACAATGATTCAGTGTCTGATGTTGTAATAAGGGAGAGAATAGATTTTCTTTAGTAATTAATTCACTTTAACAAAAAAAAAAAAAATTTATGTTATGGTCCAGTTCCTTGTACCATGGTGATAGTCTAATAAAGATGAACTCAAACACAGGTATGGAATAACACAGATATATTACAAACAGGAATATATACAGAGAAGTAGAAGTGTTAGTATGAACAATCAGGTTTAGTAGACAAAACAATGTAGTCTCGACCAGTATCACTATTCCAATGTCTTGCAGTAATTGTCTGAATGCGACTCTGTTTCGGATTGCCTCTGACTCAATTCTTGACTTGCCTTGAACTACTGACTCCTTGCCTACTCCTGAGGTGCAGTATTTATTAAGTATGGGATAGTCCATTATTATTATTATGGGTAAGATCCCATAACAATTTAACTGATAGATTTTTGTTGAATTGGTCATAGATAATTTCCCCCCTTTAAGGCCAGAAGCACCCAAATGCATGTGCAAGTTACACATGCTTGCATATCAGTTTGCAGTTATGTTACCCATCACATGATCAAGTAAAAGTGCTAGAAATGTACAACTTTAACAAAATTGTAGATTTCTAAAACCTCATCACCAGTAATACTAAGGAGGCTAAGTTTAATATCATTTGAAAGAGAAATCAATTGACTGTCTTATAAAATCAATTTGTAATAATTGATTTTTCAATGGGTTTTGAGATGTCTTCATTTAATTGTACTAATATCACATGTTCAGATTTTTTTTCAACAATTCCCTCAGGAGTCGAGGGATTTCACTAAAATCACCTCTAAGGGTTGAAGAGTTTATGAAAAGCACAGAAGGGGTAAGTTGGTAAGAACTTCAACCCCAAAATTATAACTTAAACTTCTTTCTTTCTTTTTATGTGCCATGTTCTTTCAGGACGTAGACACATTATGGCTCTCCACCTCTTTCTATCCCTTGTAGCTCTCAACAAGTTCCTTCCCTCTGCTTCCTCCACCAAACCATGTTCTGTCATCCACTTATTTAAGTCAGGTATGTCACATGTTGTTTTTCCCTTGTCTCTCTTTCCCTATATTTGACCCATGAGTATCAGGTTCTCCAGGCCTTCCTTCCTCATTGTGTGTCTGAGAAACTTCAGCTGCTTCTTCCTGATAAGCCTTCTCCTTGTTTGCAACCTCTCTAAGATCTTATCGTTGATCACACACTCGGTTCATGATATCCTTAGCATCCTTCTGGAGAACCACATCTCTGTTGCCTCAAGCCTCTTGTTCATCTTTGAGGAAATCATCCAACATTCACTGTCGTAAAGAAAGACAGATGTCATGTAACAATTCAGTACTCTTTTCTTTGTTACTTAGACTTCACATTTTCTTTTTAAATTTATTTTTAGACATTTGCCTTTTTAGACACTGCCTATTTTTATTTTATTGAGCAAATATAAAGAATAAAAATGTTGTGAAGAAAATTGCAGAAATATATTTTTCATGTAATGTATCTTAGTGAATTTTAAAAATACTTCTACTTCAAGAAAACACTTCTGAGTTGAAAAAGTTTTTCAAGATTGTCATCATGAATGCACACCATATTTTTAATGAACAGGTAATATATTGGACAATGGCTGTTTCTATCATAATTCATTGGCTTAAGAGACTTGATCTGATTGAGAATGTTATCTATTCACTTTTGCCTTTCTGTAGGTATTTCTTCTTTAATCTGATCTTTGTTAAATGAGATCAGAGTCTGTGGCTTGTGCATTTGTCATTAGCAAAGTTAATCCTAAAACTTGTCACCAGAAAGGATTAAGGATTAACTGTTGTCCACTGGCTTTATCTCCGTGGCACTTAGAGCTTAATCAAAGAGCTATTTAGCAGAGATCATAAATATTGAAATGACATACATATTGTAATGAATAAAACAAAAAAGGAAGATTAAATAAAGGTGGGGTTTGAAAACAAAAAGTGCAGTTGTTGAAATTGGTGAGATATGAGTGATTTGACTTCAGAGCCATGACACTTCTGAAATTAATCCTCTCAATTTAAACTGAACTAATTGATGGCTCAGATTATCTGAATATGTCCTCCCTGCTTGTAAATTGTTTTCATCTCTATTATCAATGCCTGTCCCTTAGCTACTGATAACAGATTAAGATGCAATGGCAATCCTTCATTACAGTTTGAAAGTTCAACTTACTTTCTACACCACAATGACTCCATCTTTGCTTTCTTCTTTACCTTCTTCTCTACCTTCTTTTCACTCTTTTTTTTTTGAGTTTTTCTCCTCTTTGTTCACTCATTCTCTTTTTGACTTTTTCTTCTACCTTCTTTTTTTTTCTTTATTCTGTCTTCTTTGATTAGAATTTTTCAATACAGCTCAACCTCATTCTGACATGTGCCTCCTTTTTCCATTTTCATGTTCATAATTTTTTTCTTTTTTTTATTCAGGCTTCCTATCATTTTTCTTTCTTTTTTTTTTCAGTTTCTTTCTTTTTCACTTTCTTTTTTCACTTTCTTTTTTCACTTTCTTTTTTCACTTTCTTTTTTCACTTTCTTTTTTCACTTTCTTTTTTCACTTTCTTTTTTCACTTTCTTTTTTCACTTTCTTTTTTCACTTTCTTTTTTCACTTTCTTTTTTCACTTTCTTTTTTCACTTTCTTTTTTCACTTTCTTTTTTCACTTTCTTTTTTCACTTTCTTTTTTCACTTTCTTTTTTCACTTTCTTTTTCACTTTCTTTTTCACTTTCTTTTTCACTTTCTTTTTTACTTTCTTTTTCACTTTCTTTTTTCTTTCTTTTTCACTTTCTTTTTTCTTTCTTTTTCACTTTCTTTTTTCTTTCTTTTTCACTTTCTTTTTTCTTTCTTTTTCACTTTCTTTTTTTTCTTTTTTTTTTTTTTCTTTTTTTTCACTTTCTTTTTTCACTTTCTTTTTTTCAATTTCTTTTTCACTTTCTTTTCCTTTTTTTTTCCTTTCTTTTTCAATTTCTTTTTTCACTTTCTTTTTTCACTTTCTTTTTTCACTTTCTTTTTTCACTTTCTTTTTTCACTTTCTTTTTTCACTTTCTTAATTGGATTTTTCTGTTTTCCTTTCTCTTTGCACATCTGTGACCATCCTTTTTTTTCTTTTTCACTCTCACCTCTTTCTCATTACCGCTCACTTCTTGTTACACCTCACTGCTCTTTTCTTTTTGTGATATGA